GAAACAACCTTTTTCAGTGGTTGTGAGGTAACCTATCAAAGCTTAAATATTTCTGTGTTAAATAATTGACTTATTCTTTGTGTTTTTATAAAAATTTCAGTTGCAATATGAAACTTAACCTAGATTTTCTTCTGGAAACTCTCTGGGAATACTTATCGCTGATCAGAGTGTACACGAAGAAGCCTGGTCAACCACCAGACTTCAGTGACGGTCTGATTTTGCGTAAAGGCGTCTCGGTTGAACACGTTTGTCATGGCATTCATCGCACACTTGCAGCGCAGTTCAAATACGCACTCGTGTGGGGCACCAGCACGAAATACTCGCCGCAGCGTGTCGGTGCCAGCCACATAATGGCCGACGAGGATGTTATTCAGGTTGTTAAAAAGTAGGTAGCCATTTTGCTCTTTCTAGGCGCCGAATTACGGATTTGTGTGAAGCACAATCGAAATAGGCATGTCAACCTATTTCATTTGTTCTTTTGGCATATTTGTAATTTAGTTTTAAGCATTGCAAATAATTGTGTGACGTGGCATGTTGCCATCAGTCTATTTTTATGACAATTCTGCGTTAAATCGTGAAGAACCAACGGTTGTAATGATCCTGAGTGCATTTAAAATCATTTGAAGTGCGAGTTTTGCATCATGCGTTATTGATTAAAGTTCTCAAGCATTTTAGATCCCATTGGACTTGGTTAACCCTACAAAAATCCTTAAATTCACACAAAATTGTTACAAATCCCAATGTTACATTTTACGTTTATTTTGTGTTAACTATGCTTTAGAGATAAATATGGTGTCGCCGCTGCACCTGTACGTCGACCAGCCAGCTGATTGTCACAACTGACTACGTCGAAAACGAAGCGCAAGAACACGCCAGTCAACCACAGCGCAGCACATTCCAAAACGACTCCGAAAAATTCAAAAACAGTTAACAAAGAGTGGGGCTGCGTCGATTGGAAATCCATGTACGTTGAATATTAATTAAGCGTAACGCGACAGTGCACCAATGCGTTTTCATCCGTAGAGATATGCCGAATCTTATCACCTCAATGCGTTCCTCCGTTAGTTACATACTCTCCAGCTCAGCCACTGAACCCAACATGTCCCATCCGGACTACGAACAGTACTCGCACGATCACGCCGCCTTGCTGATCCTCATCCGACACATCGGGCCGCAGCTGAAGCCGAAAGTCTACAACAAATTCTTCGATCGCATCAATCGATTGAACACCATCAAAGTCACCGACTCCACTGGACAGGGCAGAAATATATTCGTGCGGTATGTGAAGGAATATCCAATCGAGAACAACGACTGGGGCGATTTTCAAGTAAATATTTACACTACAACACACAAAAATCATGTTTATAAGCTGAAATTTATTGTAGACACATAGAAGATTACTGGGATTGATCTCAATTGGCAAATATGATTCACAACAGGAGTTGAACGAGATTTGCAGGGTGCATGAAAGCCTCAAAGTGAAATATACAAACACCTTATATGATTCCAGGTGTATTTTATTGAAGCCCTCTGAGGTTGAGAGCCCCATTGAACAAATTGGTGATGGTAGTGTAGGCACATCAAGTTGTGAAAGTGAAAGTAAGTTAAATCTAGCATTATTTGTTTATATAATTAACATTTACAAGTTGTAGTTGTGAAAGATGATGATTCAAGTCCATATGACAGCTCAAGCTATGACAAAAGTTCCAGTGAAGAAGAGAAAAAAGACGACAATAAAGAAGCTACACAATCCACAGATCAACCATCAGAAGAAAAAAACCCTGAAGAAGATGCGCGTAAACACAAAGTCGAGATGCTACTAGAAAAGCTCCGCGAGGAGCGCACGCCGGATAACAAATTCACAACGCCGTCGAACTTCAAAACGCGCGCGTTTTTCTACTCGGAAACCGATCCATGCACGGAATTAGAACAACATTTAACAGAGTTTGTAAATTCGCTCTTCTGGGTATTAGAATCCAAGCGGTTGGAAAAATCTCGTGAAAAAATCGAGCGTGTGAGTCTGCTACTTGCGCCGTTCGAGAAAAAAGACATCATCGGGCTGGATATGGAGTCGCGTAATAATAAAAAGCGTTGCACGGGTCGTGTGACGAAACACTTAGGTGATTTATGCCTGCAATCTGGTTTAGTAAATGAGGCGTTGACGTATTATTTTAATGCCGCCGAGACGCTGAAGTCCGTCAATGATTGGCTATGGTTAGGCGCGGCGTATGAAGGTCTCTGTGTCACTTCAGCGTTGATTCTCTATCCGAACATTCAGCGTTTACTTCCGCTACATCGTAACTCTAGTCTGCAGGAAGGTTCACCGAAAAAATCCATTACGCAGGCGCCGATTCTCGAAACAAGCGTAAAAAAAGATTCAATTCACTTATTAACACATGAGGATATTCTCAAACGCTATCGCGAGGCTATTATACACTATAGCAAGTATCAAAACGCGGGTATTATCGAAACAGAGGCGAGTTTTAAAGCGGCGCGTATTTCCGTCGAGCAAAATCACTCCCTGCAAGCGGCGAGTTTCCTCCAAAACGTCGTATTTATTAACCTGACGCTATCCGAACAAGAAAAGATTCAACGCTTTGAAACTCTGTCAGAACTTTATACACAGATCGGTTTTCGTCGAAAAGCAGCGTTCTGTCATCGCCTAGCAGCGAGTCGTTATGTTTCCGTGCAAAATCCGAAACCCAACTGGAATCAGTGTTATAGTTTGATGCTGCAGAGCTTCCCAGGGCATAAATTGAGTCTGGATCCGACTGACATGGCGCAAAATAGTACTCAAGTCGGCTGGCCGAGTCTACAAATACATATTCTACAAGAATTGGTTGTCGCCGCGAAGAGAATGGGACATTCTGCGCTTGCAACGAGGCATATGACGTTCCTCTTGCAGACAATGTGGGATCATCTGTCACAGAACGATCAGAAAGAGTTATCGTTACAGCTGCAGTCGTTGTCATCACAGTGTGAAGGTTCACCTGTGCCGCTTGTGCTTGAAAACGGCGTGGTTATCCCACCGGCGAATTTGATCAACATTCCCATCTGTAAGGGTTACACGCTGAAGAATCTACAACCACATTTACAGCCGCAGAAAATCGAGACGCTCAAGGAGGATATCGGTCCGTTTTTGTTTACGCCGATTAACTTCGGTAGTTTGGAGCGCAAAACGAACAAACCCGCTAATAAAATAGGTAATTCCTAAGTAAATCTTCATATTGCTATACTAAACTAACTATTTTTGTGTTTGTTTGTTGTTTTCATAGACTTTTTATGGATTGAAAATGATTTATGCGAAGTATCGCTAAAATTATTAAATCCGTTGCCTTTCGAGCTGACTGTGTCCAATATGCGGCTATTGACTTCAGGAGTGGTGTTTGAATCAGTCCCGGAGACAGTTGTACTAGCACCAGAGACTCCCACACTGTTAACTCTTGTGGGAACACCAAAAGAAGTCGGTGAGTTGGAATTGCTCGGTTATAGCACGCATACACTCGGCGTAAAATCAAATTGTCGCCTGCGCTACATGAAAAACTTCCTGCCTTCGTACTCAATCGAAGTGATCTCTTCTTTACCGACAATGGATGTGAAAACATCCCTGCCGCAGAGCGCCACTTTTTCCACGTTTCAAAACTTTGAAAATGTCGTCACCTCAGCGAGTTTAAGTCTACACAATGGCGAAACAACTGAATGTACAATTACTCTGACGAATACAAGTCAAGTACCTATTGAGATGCTAGAAATAACTATTCAGAGCGGATTAGATCATGTCCTGCAAGGGCAGATTTTCCAGTGGTCCGAGGAGGCTGTTAAGGAACAACTGCCGATTCAGCCCGGGCAGTCAGCGACGATGAGTTTACAATTGTACGCGGCGGCGAATTTCCTCAACGCAGCATATTCAGCTGCGGATTTATCCAGCGGCGCATTCGATGGATCACAGGCAGGTAGTAGTTTATTATCCACATCAGCAGGTCCGAGTTCACTGCCATCGCGGTTGAATTCGCCTGTGAATTCACATTCCGCGATGGGTAGTAGTTTTCACAGCTCGCGGCGCACCGAGTACAATTCGAGTTTCCGCTCAACGTATTCCGGCCAGAGTAGTGTTACCACACAGGGTGGTGCTAGATCACCGGGGGTATTAGCCCTGCCGCAACATGCTGCTTCAGCAGTGGTGGAGGGACAGTTACAGCTGCGTTATAGCGGCGGAAATGGGATCGCCGCGGGATATTGTCGAACTTGTTCGATTTTCATCACGCTGGAGATGATGCCATCGATGCAGGTTACTAATTGGGATGTACTACCAGCAGAAACGTAAGTATTTGTTAGTTTTTATAAGAAAAGTTTAAGAAACATTGAGTTTTCGCGTAGATCATCACAGTTTTACTTAGTTTTGGATGTGGCGAATCTCACATCACAAGAAATGGAGTTGCAATACACGCCCACGAAGCGTATGCTTGTCGAGGGCATGAATCCTGCCGAATTCCAATTCCTGTTGATCGGTGTCCGCTGTCAAAACTTACCAAACTTTACATGGAGGATAATACTCTCGACGAACGCTTGGATTTAGATAAAATCTGCTCGGAGCACATCGCTAATCTAGTTGATCTTCAGTATAATCTTCCAGCGATTGACATCAAGGGCAAAGCCAGTCTAAAAGGGATCACATTGACCCCGAATATGTTAGATATCGTCCGGATGTCGCCACTTCACTGGGGTATAAAAAAAATCACAATTCAAACATAAATTTCTATAAATTTTGTCGTTTAGATGTTGCGGTTAATGGTTCACCTGTAAAGCCGCAAGAGGCGCTCAACTGCGAGGCAGGCGACTCGCTTTCGCTCAGTATACAAGTCTGCAACAGCCTAGAAAAACCTCTCAACAAACTGATCATGACCGTACAGTTCTACCAGGATTATCAAAATGGCGCATGCAACTACATGTTGGAGACACGACTTTCAGTCACAGGACCATCCAAGTAAAACACATCTTGATTCATTCCAGCTTCGTATATGTATTATAAATTAATCGTTTTATTGTTTAGAATATTCTTGCCGACACTAGCGCCGCAGAATTCGACGCAGCACGCGTGCAATGTGCTCTTCTTCACTCCAGGTCAGTATAAAATGGACATACAGGTAACTGCGCCCGATTCCGCCAACGTGGCGAGTCTAACGAACCATATATGGCGGTTTATTCCACCGGTGGAAATAAATGTCACCAGTTAAAGAGGCGATCAGAATAAATGCACATACCTTATACCTAACCTCATTCTTTTTCTATCAGTGTTGATTCCTTGCGTAATCGAGCAGAGTAAAGATTGAATTTTAAAAGAAAATTATCATCATCATGCATGCAAGTAAACATAAATCAGCGTCAATTGACAATTCTTTATTATATTGTAAAAATATACGAAAGAATTAACGTATTAATGCTAGTGGTTTAAATAAAATTAATATGGTACTGTCATGAGAGTGTTCTTAGGAAATATTCAGTCATGCATGCGCTAATACCTTGAAATCTTGCAATATAATAAAGAATTTCGACAATTTCTGCTCTCTTCGATTGCATTGCAACATTAATTCGGTCTAAAAATCCGTCATTGGTTTAAAATCAGATTACTTCATTAATAATACTAAGATAATTGAGTATTCAATGGTTTTCACGAGATGGAAACGATCGGTTTGCTTGAAAACAGTAACTTTTTCGGTTTGCGAGTAATACCACTCTTGCTGCCTGATTTGGCAGGTAATGGCATTGATTTTCCTAAGGGAATCATTGTGCTGACAATAGCTGCATCCGCGATTTCAGCTCGCAGTCGTTTATGAAACGCTAGCACATCCGGATTGGCCCAGACCTGCGACGCTTTAAAATCGAGCACGCGCAGAGTATCTAAACTTTGCGCACGTGAAAGCGCCACGTAAGCTTGCCCAGCTTCAAACACACGTGCTAAAGACATTTCAACGCAGTCGAGTGTGAGTCCTTGCGATTTGTGGATGGAAAACGCCCATGCAAGTTTCAGCGGTACTTGTTTACGTGTAATTGTCGCACCGCCGGCGGTTTTCATCGTCCATTTCTCAGGTTTAGCGAGGTATTCTTTCTTGTTACGGAAACGCACGAGTGGTAAACCCTCACGGAAACCGACGACAACGCCACGTGCGCCATTCACAAGCCCCATGGAAATGTTCACGTTTTTCAGAAGCATGACCTGCGCGTTTATCTTGAGAATAAGCTCAGCTGGCACCGGAGTTTGTTGATCGAGTTGTTTGCTTGAGTACTGGTCACTGTCCTGCGCTTTGAAGACTCTAGTCTCGCCTGAAAATCAACTCATAGCATAAAATAACAGTTTTGTGAGGTTTTAAGTTGAATTTGTACCTTTAAGTTCATTTAACTTGTTTTCGTTGATCAAATTCGCATCCTGCATGTGTGAACACAAGCGAGTTGCAAGAATACCGTTCTGTTCGATTTGTTGCTTGGATGTGGCAAGCAGGCGATCGCTGATTGAATCCGGGACATCACCAACACGGATTTGATTCAGAATACTGACGAATTCCGGGTCTTTCTGGCGGTGGACAATGCGTAACTCAAACACTCTCTGCACGCAATCATTCCAAGCCTTTGACTGGAAGCAAAACTTCTTCTCCTGCTTGAATTTTGTCACAGGAGGCAACTGTAGGAAATCCCCGCATAAAATCAACTGCAAACCACCGAATGGTTTGTCGTTTTTCCTTACATGTCGTGCGACTGCTTCAATTTTCTAAACACAAACAAAAACAAGTTAATAATTTAATAATTATGGAAATATTAAGACAAAACCTCAAAAAGTTTGCATCCACCATGGATATTTCATCAATGATCAAATGTTTGCATTTTCTCCAAATTGAAGCAACAGATGGTTTTGAAGCCATTTGATAGGACCTATCAAGTGTAGCTTCACCACTGCCAATGCCAGCAAACTGATGCAGTGTTATCCCACCAATGTGACAAGCAGCCACACCAGTGGAAGCTGTTGCAGTGGTTACATCCGGAGGCAAAGCACCAATAATCTTCCGCAGCAAGTAACTTTTACCTGTGCCTGCACTCCCAGTGAAGAAAACATTCTGCCCACCTAGACAAGCCTGCAGCACTTCTTTCTGCTCATCGTTCAATGGATCACTTACTGTGAAAGCTTTTTTTGGACTAGGAGAGTGCCCATCTTGAAGCTTTCGTTTTCTACTCAAAGGTGAAGGTGTAGTATCAGTTGATTTTGATGTTTTTATATGTTTCAAATCCGCAACAGTCACTGGACTGATATCATCCAGTACTTTCGGTTGACTAGTCAACAGTTGTTCACGCAGGGACACTTTGGCGGTGTTGGTTTTCTTGTCGCCGGTCATTTTCACAAATAGCAGCTTTAAAAAGGTCGTTAGCTGGCCAGGCGGTGCGTTTGAAAGGAACACGGTACACTTTTGATCCTGAAACTTCATGGAAGTCTTACCTTCGTTCATGAATTTATTATGCACGGACATATTCTTGAGTGGAAACTTGAATGGTGCTAGTTTTTCGGCGGCAATCTCGAGGATCATCTGGCGGAATTCGTTGCGGCAGAGTCGAAGGGTTGCCTTCTTGTGCACGGCTTTCCTTTGATGGCTCCTTGTGCATTCGCCCATTCTAAAGTCACCGAGCATATCACCGTGCTGTCGTTATCCATTTTCGATGAATTCTCCTCTTGTTACAAATATACCATCAACATTTTAACGACTTCAGCAAAATAACGTAACTGTTTCGACGAGTTGGCCAGGTTGAATCAGCTTGAATACTACACACGTTGCTAACGGTTAGAAGTGGCGCATGCGCAGCTTCGGTTCGACTCGGTTGTTACAAGGAGGGCGTCCGTGTCACTATTGCGCTTGTCTCATTCAAACAGTTGACGTTTCGTGCAGAACATGGACTCTTAAACTTTCGCGGATTTCTTAAAATTTCTTGTATATTTGAACATTGCAACACCTGAAAGTGCACAGTATAAATTACCGAAGTGATTTCAACTCACAGCAACTGTATTCAAAGGTATGTGCAATTACTACTAACTAAAAAACTGAACATAAAAACTTATGCTTCAACTAAAACTAAAAATTTAAAATGGCGGCATGCGGCATCCAATGTCATTTAATGAATCAATTTATTAACATTTCGTACACAAATATGTTTACATATATATATATAAGTAATATGTGTTTTGTATTAATACGTTCAATTTGGGCAGACTGTGCATCCAACAGAATTTCAGTCGTAAATTGTTCCGCGCATGTTACTGATCCGGCATTACTGATATATTATACTGGTTTAATTTGAAAGTATAGGCACAATTATTAATATTAATCTCTTAAGCATATCATCACCTCCGTGTTAGGTGTTAGTAGTTGATGAGTAGTGCGTTTAGATCTGTTGCACATTCGAAAAGTCGTAGCTATGCTGGTTAGCTCCGTGGTTAGTTGGAGGCGGCGGCGGCGGCTGCGCGCGGTCTATATCCTCGTAACTGGTCGCCCTCGGCGCCGCCGGAAATATGCCGCCTAGAAAGTCTACAAATGGCATAAGGTTTAGCATATCTCCGCACAACAAGAGAGCATCATCTACGAATTACTTGGTTCGTCGCCGCGCTCGCGCAGGATTTTCAGCATGTAGATGGTGGTGAAGGGCCGGGCGACAAGATGCAGGATTGCCAGCGCGGCGGAGAATCGTTCTGCAGCGCCTGCGAAAACAATAAATGTTTAAATTGGCCCTGTAAGCGTTCCATGAAGAATTTGATAAGGTATTGTTTACTGATTGAAATAAATCGTGCAATTTTATACTGTATACATAAACAAGCAATAACAAGCAAGCAACTTGATATTGTGAGAGTCATACCATAACTGTTTGGGTAACAGAATGCAAGGTAGAAGATATCCAATACGATTGAACAAATATTGACCATAAAAGCCTGCAAAATTGGTTTTTATTGAATAAAAATACAAAATAAAAATCAATCAATGACTTACCATTTGAATGGGTTCTGAAGATTGGATGTTATGCATGGACCACAGGATAAGTATAATCAGGATAAAGTTGTAGAATAAATATCCATTGGTGGCCCAATGGCCCATTGCACTCAATGCAATGAAAATGAAATGAGTGAAGAAAATCGCCTGGAAATTATTCAGATTTATTGCTTTATTAAATCCTGCTGATGATGTCTTGTATTGCTTGGTGTGGCATTACCTTTTGCGGAAAGTTGGGCACGGACGCGATGTCCATCGTCGTGACCGGCATTGTTGACTTGTTTGCTTGTTAGAGAATCGATGCGCACGATTTGCGTGATTCACATCCTCTGCGTAATACCGAAAAAACGCACAAATATATCAGCTGCACGTATTGGGTATCAACTGATAGCGCTTTGCCCAGTGTCTGGTGTGCTGAGCGAGCGATGATTGCACATCATGCTTGCGCAATCTGATTGCCAAGCCTGCTGGCATTCGTTCAATATCTTGTTTAGTTGGACACCCTTGTGACATAGGCAACGCAATATTCACGCTGATTTTGTTTCAGGAGTTTTGGATTGAAGTTAACTATGAAAATCTAAACATTCCACGATGGATGACAAAATTTTGCTGTGAAATCGACAAGGATTCAATTAAATTTGAATAAATGTAAAGTTTGATGAATTGTGAATTATAGACATGATGCCGGAGGAATACAACAACGTAAGTGTATTTTATGTTAATATTTGTATAAATATTAAATAATTTATTAGAATTTAGCGTTTTTTGTGTCTGTTTTTTATTATTACACAATTTTAAGTACAAAGACACAATTTACATGAAAACATCTTGCAATACGTGAAGATAACACACTTTGTGTACGGTTGATACGAAAAAACGCACGCGGTTGGATTAATTGAAGTATTTCTGAAGAAATTGATTGGAGCTAATAGTTTTTTGCCGATGTTTAAATATTTTTTGACATTTTATATCTGAAGATTCGTGATGGTAACGAAATCGCACGAGCCGCATACCCAATGTCCGACGATGACATGTTTCGAGTGCAATTTGGTAAAGAACGCTAAAACAGTGTTGGGCAATTTTGATTTCTCATGCGAATTGGAATAAATTGCGGCGCCGTGCGTTATCCACTCCGCACCGATAGTACATTCTGACGCGAGTGCGCCAGTAGAGTACGCAGTCGGTTGGCGTAGCGCGGGGCCCGTGGCAAACGGCGCGCTCTCCACGTACAAAACCACCTCTCGCGAAATTCGCACGCTGCTCGCATTCGGACTTCGGTGTGTCGCAACCCGCCTGACGTCCCCGTCTCTCGCCGCCGCCGCCGTATCCGCGAACACGACACCCACGACGTCGGTGAACGGCACGCCGCTCTCGCCAGTTCGCCGCCCGCTGGGAGGTTAATGCTACAACGTGCTCGTGTTGCCCAGTGTTCAGCTCGTTCTCTTCTCCGATTCAGCGCAAACGGAAATCCGGCGCGCTCGAGTCGATGGCGAAGAAAAAGCGACAAGATGAGCCGTCCACAGGCAACTCGGACGGATCGTCCGAGAGCTCCGAGGATCTCCGCAATACATTCTCCGAATGTGCGCACGTCAACAAGTCGGTGGACCTCGGTCGCGTGAAGCGATACATGCAGCTGAACGCGCCGCCAATTCGCAGCCAGTGCGAAATGTGTAAGCCCAGTCCGCAGGATGAGCCAGCAGCTGGTTCCAGTGCGGATTTGGCACCCGAGGCATCATCACCTATGGACGAGGTGAACGAGTACTCCTTCGAGATAGACGACTCGCTGTGGCTGTGCCTAAAATGCGGCAATCAGGCGTGCGGCCGCTACAAGAACAAGCATGCGCTGCAACACTTCAATACGCCGCATTCCGACCCGCACAGCATCTGCCTGAACACCACCAAGTGGACGGTGTGGTGCTATCGCTGTGACAATGAGATCAATGTCAGCGGCAAGAAGAAGCTGCACGAGTGTGTTGAGTATATCAAGAAGTTTTCTGAGGGCGGGAAGTCACTCAAATCCAATCCTAATAATATTAAAGACATTCGGGTGAGTTTCAGCACACAATACACAAACAATCAAACACTGCCGGTTGTAGATTTTCATTTGTAATTTAATTTGTTTATTTAATTCATATTTATTCTATAAAATTATTTTTTTATATTCCAGGGTGTGCTGCTTGAAGCCCAGGCAGCTATGTCCATTATAGCACACAATCACCGCTCGGAGTTTGTTGCGCGGGGTCTGAGTAACCTGGGCAACACCTGCTTTTTCAACTCAGTTATGCAGTGCCTCGGCCACACTCCGTATTTCCTCGAGTTGCTCGAGGAGACTGCTGTGGCCGGGCAGAAATTCAAGCTGCCGGGTGGGAAAGTAGTGCTTGACAGTAAATTGAAAACGACAAAAGTTTTGGCTCCGTTGGAAGGTAATTAATGCACTTTTTCGCAATTACATTATCACCGAAAATCGCTATTTATAAATATTGATAAGATTATAACGTGCGCGTTTTTAGGTACTTTGGAAGAATGGAAGCCGCTGACTCACGCGCTGGCGAACACCATCGGGGAACTACAAAGTGGGAGTCACATTACATTCAACCCCAGCATTCTTTTCAACTGTCTAACTCAACGTATGACGATGTTCAGCGGTGGTAACCAGCATGATTCGCACGAATTACTGCGTCATTTATTAGATGCAGTGCGTGAGGAAGACTTGCGTCGCTATCAAAGCGTTATCTTAAAGCATCTAGGCTTTAGCACGAAGACAGACCCTGCGACAGTCGAAGGCGAAAAGCGTGCGATTATACGTTTCTATGGCGGACAAGCTTCGGAGCTTTTACTGCCTACGGAGCAAGTTTTCCGCGGCGTGCTTGTTTCTACGCTTAAATGTCAGGACTGCGGCCACACTTCACATCGCGAGGAGTACTTTCTGGACCTTAGTTTGCCGATCTCCGAAAAACTACGCCCGCCAGTCCTGCGTCGTAAGGCTGAGGATTCCGACGATCACAAACCGTCCAAGCATCAGGTGAAAAAGGAACGCCGCGCGATGCGGAAGGCCAACAAACGCGGTTATGGACTTTCTTCGTCTTCAAGCAACGTTGTCATTCAAGAGTTTGATTCCAACGGTGACGCGCCGATGGAATCGGAAAACAACGATAAATCCGACAGTCAGTCCGATGCTGACGTGGAGGATAACATCGAAGACTCGACGAATTCACGCACACCTGAGGAAGTGAGTAAAATGCCCGGGTCTGAATCCGGGTACAATTCGGATAAGACTAGTCCGGATAATGCGGAGAACGCTGCGAGCCCAGCTGTGGGAATGTTGAGCGCATCGTCTTTCACTCCGGACAGTCCTGCTACTAGCCCTGCAAGCTGTGAGACTAATATTGATTTGAGTCCTGCGTGTGGACAAAATTCTCCTACTGAAGAGTAAGTTTTACAAAGTAAAAAATGATTATTTTTGATTTTATTATTGTTTTTCTAGTGGTAATGAAGAAATAGAACGACCTGGTAGTAGGCTGGCGTTTGTCGGGAATAAAAATAACGATTTAAAAGCAGATTTGGCCAAACTTTCGATTAAAACGGTAAGAAACCTGATGGTGCGTATGGCGGTGCTCCTTCCGATGATGATTTACTCCTTGCGACTGATAATGGAGATCAGGTTTGTGTTTTAATCAAAATATTTATACATAAATGAAGTAATTTTTATTATGCGCAGATGGAAGTTGATGATGTCGACATGTACAGTGGGACAATCTCAATCCCTAACATTGAAGAAGGCGAATGCTCGGTGCAGTCGTGCCTAAACCAATTCACCGCCTCGGAGCTGATGACTGCAAACAACAAAGTCGGCTGCGAGTTGTGCACCAAGCGACATGGCGGCCCCGATAAGAAAACCGTGCTCACCAACGCCACCAAGCAGCTGCTCATCTACATCCCACCGGCGGTGCTCATCCTGCACTTGAAACGCTTCCAGGTCTATCACTTCCGTCCGTCGAAGATCACCAAGACTGTCAAGTTCCCCGTGATACTGGACATCGCTCCGTTCTGCTCAAAACGCGCCCGCCAGCTACCAACGTTCGCGCCCGATCAAAAACAGGTGTTGTATTCGTTGTACGGCGTTGTGGAACACAGCGGTTCCATTAATGGCGGGCATTACGTTGCGTACGTCAAAGTACGCGCTAAAATCGCTGAGGATAACTACCGATGGCACTTTTTACCGAAGAACCACCGCAATCAGGTGAACAAAGTCGTCACCGAGACCACCAGCAATGGAAAGTGGTACTACGTGAGCGATTCGCACTCCGCCGAGGTAAAAGAGGAGCGCGTGCTCAATGCATCCGCCTATCTACTTTTCTACGAGCGTGTCCTGTAACGCACGAGCGCCTATTATCATTTCATCGCGATTGTATGTATGTTCTCCGATTCATTTCCAACACACACACACGTTTTTGACATTTTTAACGTTTGCGTACCACTCGTGTCTCCGACACCGGCGAAGAGGGCGGTTTCTTTTATTGCACATTTCGAGCCGAGAGCCACCAGCTAATAATTGAAATTATGCGCGTGCTCCTGCAATAATACGTACTGGCGCAAGCGGACAACGGGTATTTAGAAATTTGATAATAACTTATTATATAAGGCGGGGGCTGAAATGGGTGTTAATCAAGTTCGATTTGTGATCGCGTTTATTGCGTAGATAATGATGAGAGAAGAAAGACGATTGCGAGTGGTGTTGAATATTTCAGATTATAAATAATTCGGAATAAAATGATGCAAAACATTCAAAATGGTGATTGTGAATGCGAGTTTTAAAAGCAAAACAGTAAATTGTTTGTGAAATTTACTATAAACATCTTCTATGGATGTGCGACCCGCAAATAGTGGTGGGGGTAAGAAGTACAAATGCACATGTGTTTGTCAAATAACCTCTGACTCCAGAATCCTACTATATTATATAAATATTCTGTACAACTCTCTTAAAATTACAACTTGAACTTATCATAGAATCAAGCAAATCGGGTCCCCGAAGTTCCCCAAAATTTCAATTTAAAACAACGCGGTTTACAAAAATACCAATTGACTTGAAGCGTCGTTGCATTCATAGCATTTACTCTTATAAAATATTGCTTCTGTGTTAATCTAAAATGTAATGGTAAAAATTGCGGCTGCGGGCAGACAAACACAGCTTACAAAATGATCTCACAGCCCTGGTTGACGTGCTCGAGCACCTCCACCTTCAACGAGTTCACCTGGTCGCGCATCTGCGTGATCATACCGGCAAGATCCGTATTCTCCGCCTTCAGCAGCTTCACCTTATCCTCCAGCTTCGATATGCGTTCGAGTTTGCGGCTGCGGCACTTGCTCGCCGCGAGACGATTGCGCATTCGCTTGCGCTCCAACTTAATGCGTTCCTGATGCTCCATATCGACGGGAGACATCGGCGGACTGGACTGCGTGTTGGGCACAGTCTGCGGCTCCTCCTTGATGATGGTCGGGACAAAACCGCCGCCCGCTGGCTGCTCCATGTCTGTATACACAGTACTATTTGAGTCTGACGTCGACGCTACAAAACAATCTGACTTTAAGCGTAAAATAAAGCGTTTTTTCAGCGGCTGCTTACCTTGTGAACTGCTGTTGTGCAGATTGTTCAACGCGTTGACGAAGCCAGCGGAGAAGTTCTCCTGCTCCTCGGTGACCGAGCGCGGAAACAGGATGGCATTTGGATTCCCCTGCGAGGGCGTGGGTGTAGACAGCGGGTTTTGACCCAGGATGAAATCATTCAGCTCGGGTGTGCCCACTTTGAGGATCTGCAGGTCCGGAGAGGAGAGCACCGGTCCAATATCAAGATTTTTCTTCGTCTGGTTGAAGTCCGCTAAGAGGGCGTTTAATTCCACTCATGATGATTTAGTTATTGATGTAAAGCGACCAGCCGAACCAAGACCACAAGTCGAAGAAGAGCTTCACAGGCACCACGATCAGAAAGAGCAGGTAGTAATAGGTGCAGTCACCTATTTCCATTTAAATCCTGTACGCACGCAAAAAACAAACACACACGCCTAATGAAACAACATTAATGCGCACAAAACAAACATTGTTTGCTTACCTTGACGGCCGCGGTGCGAGAACCGATTTGTTTGTCGCGTTTGAAATTTGTGCGAAGAAGGCGGGTGTGTTACTCGGCGTTAAAAGTCGCGCTGCTGACTGGCAAGTCGAGGCGAATACGACTACGCTTTGTGCGGCGGCTCTGGCGTAATCGCGCGCGCGGGGACGAACCTTTCTCCTGCTTTGTTCTCTTCTAGAAGCGTTCGAGGCGGTGCGCGCCTTAACACGCAGCAGGCCAGCAGCGCGTTGGAATTATCAGTAATTGACGGTATGAGTCACGCGCTTCATGGAAATGCCACCTGCATGACGTCATTTGACACAAAAACAATGTGATATCTTGCATAGCACAAGGATCCTCCTCGTGGGCATCGACCAAACACGTATTATCTAAATAAAGCATGGTTTGGTACGTATATGATCCAAGCGTGGAGTATCTCTGCATTGTGCTGCCCCCTGCAGGCGCACAAGCGAACTAAGTTACACTTTGAGTGACTTGTTATCAAATTTCATCCAGCGTGCATTCTGTTTACATAACATTCACTACGACTGGCAGGCAAGAAGACATGTTTTATTTTAAAAGCATATCCGAGTTGTATTTTGTGAGGTGGCGTGCGATTTGGGCGAATGCGAGAAATGGCGGACGGGCCGACGCTTGAGATGGTCGAGATTGGGCGATTTTAATGTAAGAAACGAGTGCGCGGGTTACAATTAAACTAAACAAAGAACATTTATATTCGTCAGTGGGCGCGCGCGGGGCGGTGATAAAAAGCGCACACGATAGTTGCGAGCGCGTCCGGCTCCGGCCGATGGCAACCGAACTCGGTGCGGCGCAGCAGATCAGAACGCCGAACGCAGCGACGGCGAGCAAGACCCATGCGTACAACGCCGCCGAACGCCGCGAATGTGCCCCGTGTGGTGTAGAAGCGAGTGTGGACCGTTCCGTGTTGAGTGTGCTGCTCTGCCAGCGCCAGCCATCCCGTTCAGTGAGTGATAATGTCGGCGACGAATCGCCGTCGCAACGCCGCCAGCGCCTAGCTCCTTCGCTCGTCGCTCACTAAACCGCCGGAGAGCGCACCAGCTAGCGTTATTATCCGCGTTATCTCTCGCGGTGTGCACGCACGGGAGGCATCTTTTTTTGTTTTTGTTATCGCTTTGTGTGCCGTGTGCGTGCGTCTCCGCGGTGGCTGTGTGCGTGCGGCGCGACTCGCCATCCAGTGCCTCCTACGTGCGGGCGCGTGTGCGTCGTGCTCCGTCCACCGAAAATGTGCAGCACCAACGCCGTCGTCGGCGCGGTGGTGCCGCCGACGTTCTACGACGTCTGCCGTCTTTGTCTGTCGGTGCCCGCCGCCGACGACGCCGCGGCCGCGCCGAGGATATCGGTGTTTGCCGTCGACGATGCGGCCGCGGCGGCTCACCACACGACGCCGAAGGTGCCAATCTCCAAGAAGATCATGACGTGTCTGTCTATTATGGTGAGTGATTCATGGGGCGCACAACCGCCGCTGCCGCACATGGTGTGTCGGCGATCATTTTAATTCGCCTGCACGTATATGCAGCATGAGAGTTGAGTTGAGTTGAGTTGTGCTGGTGCTCTTCATTGAAACAAAAGCGGCGCCGCTGGGCGCCGCCGCGTCAATGCGCTAATGAGCTGGAAGTCATTTCTCTCGATTCGAATTTGTCCGGTACGCATTCACAAATGATGTTGCCTCAATATGTTGCGCCAGATTTATGCAACATCCGCTGTTGGCCGTGTCCGTCCGCCGTTCGCGCGACGCGCCGCACTTCGTTGATCTTCGTATTTTTCGAACCTCTCTGCAAAAGGGAAGCAACAAAAACAACGACGTACGGCGTACGGACGACGCTTATTTTCGATCTTGTCTGGTCTCGCACATCACGATTTCATTCCATTTATTTCTGTTTTGTCTATCTATCCGCGCGCGCGCTCTGCGCGAGCGACTTCTTGGATTCTCTCACGTTGTTTTTGTTTGTGGGCAATAATATTTTTTGTGTGTAAATTTAGCTCTCCGCGCTTCGATTGCGTATCTCGTATCAGCGCTCGCGCGCGCTCTTCATGTGCGTCGTCGTCGTCGTGGTGAACTCCGCCGTACGCACTATGGGCGTAAATGTGGTCGGTCGACGGCGTTCGAGAGTTATTTCGGGACTTTTACTACGTTTGTGGCGTTCTCGATGCACTACCAGTCTGCTGGCTTTCCTGCACTTCGTCCGCATGCTGGAAAATCCCGCAATCTTTACCTGCGCGCATCAAATCTCGCCACCGAATTTTTGCGGACACTTGTTGTGTGCGCCGGGGCACTTGCCGCGTACTTGTCTATTGTCATGCAAAGCGTGTCTAACCAGAAAAGAACCCTTGTTTGCTAGAGACTACCCAGGTGGACGTGAATTCTTCTCATTCTTCACGCACACTCACTACCTGTCCGTGTTTCGCTACATTGTTCGACGTCGCCGCCGGTCGAGTTTTACAACTTCTCGCCCAGATTCATTTTTCTCGCAATGCCCGATCATAAACCATACATACATAAATCAATCAAATGCGCTTCGGCCTTATTTATTGTCTCGACGCTGCCGCTTTTTGAATCCGCGCGCGCCGTGTTTATCTTTCAGTCGAACATCATCGCATACGCCGCATGTGCATGCGCTACTAATATTCATTAGGCGTTCGGTGTTTTTTTTTTCCTTCCTCTCGGCGTCGTTTTTGTCTGTCTGCCGCGCGCAAGCAAACACACAGACCGACCATCTGTGGTCTATTTACCTGCTGTCGTTTCTCGTCTCAGTCTCGGCTCGCTTGCCTTCTTATTCTTCCGTCTTTCCAGCTTTTCATCCTCTCTCTAGCCTGCGTTTCGGGGCTTCTTCAGTGCACCCGGCGTGTCCAAATATTATAACTTCAATACTAATATTTGAAAATGCGTAGAAAAATTCCGCTACTATTTCATGCATAAATGTGTGTTCGGCTGCTCGGGGGGCTTAGGTTTCCGCTTGCCGTCTTGTGCTTCGAGTCGGTTTCGAAAACATGTTGTTATTTTCCGAACCGAAGAGATCGGTTCTTGGGCGTCCCATGCGTCTGATGGCATGATGAAACGTGCATTCGCGTCGCCGGCGCGCGCATCGCATGCGAGCGAGCGCATCCGACGTCTCTTTGTGTTTGTTTTCCATTCATTTATTCATTCATTCATTCAATCCACGGATCCTCGCGACTCGCATGTTGCAGCATCCGACAGCCAACGCTACTGCTGCCCAGGCGAACGCTGCTCGCGTTTATACAACTTGTAGGAAACTAAAAATTCAAAATTTTCTTTCCATCGCGATGATTTTTACGCATACTGCATTCTGAAATCATATCGCGCGCGACCAGTGAGCGCAAGTGAAATGCGCTGGGTTACTAAATAAAGCTTTCGAGTTGAATGCGTGTGCGTTATTTCTCCATCGCCGATGCCGATCGTGGCGCGTTGATAACGGGCGCCGAATCGAGGGCGCCGTGAAACGCTATCTGGCTGCTGGCAGAGCGGCCAGCAACAGCTCATGGGAAAGAGACGCTCGCGAAGGAGCTAAAAATGATACTGAAGTGGGGCTTGGATTTCGTCGTGCCTGTGTGCCCGCGATGCGATGAAGCAAGAGCAGCGCGCCGTGAGCGCTAGAATATTTAACATCAACATAGCATCAGCTTACCTACTACTACGCTATCTTAACGATATGCGTGGTGATTCTTTTTCTCTCTGTCCGCGCGGTGAGAAAATTGTGTTTACACGAATTAATAAACACGACCTCTGCCCAGGAAATCTTCGTCAAAAGTATCAATTACGTCCGATGACATTTTCCGCCTCGTGTTCAATGCGCATTTGGTATTTGCCTCTATCTCGAAGCAATATTTCCGCTCATAACAAATATCATTAAACCATCGCATGCACCTGTGACGGGCGTCTGCAGTCTAGACGCGCGTTTTTGTTCGCCGGCTGTGTGTGTATGTATGATTCGTTTGTTATTTTTTGTTGTTCCGCATCGATTGTCTTTTTTGCGCTCGTTGATTCGCAATCCGTCGGTCGTCGTTGTTTGGCAACCTATCACAACATATTGGGACATTCGTTGGCGGTGTCAATACACCTGACTACACTAGTCCAAAACCGCGTCTCGCCGTCCCAGAGAGAGCCGTCAACAATTTTTTTCCACCACCGATTAGATGTTTATTTTCCAGCAAGTAATTAATCGTGTGATACGCCGATTGTTTACCGGCTAATATTTCGAGGCGCTGCAATCGCATGGTTCAGTCAGTGCCCTCTATGTTTGCAGTAATCGCGCGCGATTAGCGTTTTTCGGCGCGCTGGCCATTTAAACGTAATCAATCCGTGACGAGCCGTATGCGAGATATAAATATTAAACAAAACATACGCAGGTTTCAAGGATACGTTAAGTAAAGCAGCGATACGAAAACTGGTTTCACAATCAGTTTTCTATCTCTCTGCGCTCGCGCGCGCGCGCGCGCCGCATTATCTGTTTGTGTTGGTGCCTTGCCCGGCCGACGAAATATAATAAAACATTATTAAAATCCCCGGACGCATACACACGCGCGCGCCGTGATCCACGTACCGCATTATCATAAGCGTATGCAAGTATTTTATCAATATGTATGCGTATGCTTTAACTCTCCCAGGCAGTCTTCGACGGTGCGGCGGCTCCGCGTCCGTGGTTGTGGTCGCGGTCGACGAAGTAAGCAGCGGAGACAAAAGAAAAGAAAGATAACTATATAAAGACGTACACGTAATGTTTGTAATTTGTGCGTCCTACACGTTATTTCGGTGTGTGTTGCTCACCGCGCGCGCGCTGCCTGACTTCACTGAGTCTGCGCGCGCGCGTTTTTCCTTCTAGAAGATGTCTCCGAATCGCACCGCCGCCGATAATGCTGATTAGACGCGTAGGTCGGGGTGATGGCTTGCACGCTAAAATTTCTCGATTTCTAGGAAGCGCATTTGCGTAACGCTGGTCAACACCGTCACCAACACCGCGCACGTTTCCAATGTATTATTCTCTCACACACCGTGAATGTAAATAAATTTCGACTGGAAAACTCAATGAGTCTCCTCCAGTCTCTGAGCATCTGACGGCATGCGAATGATTCACACTGTCTATAATCTCCATCGATCTGTTTACGCAATGTTATGTGTTAGTTTTCAACATTTGCGAATCATATTTTTACACTGGCGCAACACAATCAAGCATTTGTCATTTGTAATGCATGCTGAAATAATCTACAAGTCAAAGAATTCATTTTTTTTTCTATGTTTGATTGATGAACATACATAAAATGCGAATGTTTTTTAATGCATGCTGAAACCAAAAATAGTCATGAATGCTTATTTTCAATTTCGCTATTGAGTAATTATTTATCGTCATTGTCATGCTTTCCATTATCTATTCTCGTCTTGATGTGTGTTTCGTCAGCGCCGCCGCAAGGAAAACTTGTTTGATAAATCCGCGCGCGCGTCGTGTTGTCAGATTCGCTTCTTTGTGCGGCAAAGAGAGGAAGTCGTTCGATGAAGTACGCACCGCCACAACTCAAACTCTTTTATCGATCAGATTTGTTACGTTTTTACGAGAGCGTCGGGCCATCTATTCATCGAAAAATCATGTTGATACCTGTTCGGCCGGCTTAATTGCGCCGGCGTAATTAAATAACGCGCGGCGGCGTTTTAAGGTTTACGGCTCATGCATCGGCTTTACGAGATTGTTAGCGACCGCTTACGCTAAACGCACGCAGGTAATTGTAATGTGGGAATTGGATTAATTAAAAGAATTGCCCCATCCATCAATTATCAATTCAAGTCGAAATTTTGCCGTTGTGTTCGTTCTCAGCGCGCGCGCGCTTTCCTTCATTCATTCATTCATTCAAATTCATTCATTCATTCGGCTTCGAAGGTGCTTATTCTGGTTCGGTTGAATTTTTTTTTGTTAATTTCATAATTATTCTTTTATAACGTGCAAAGGTTCATTATAAAGCGCGTTTTAATTATTAATTATGAAGGCAGAGTGACGCATCACTTCGTCAGTGTGAAGAATTGTACGAATGTTTCCTATTGCGTCTCTGGGGAGTGATTATCTCTTAGTTTTGGGTGCTTTGTAACGAAATTTCAACTCGAGCGGTGTTTTCTTGTATCGGATCGGTGGCTTTATTGCCATTATACGATTACGTGGATTACAAACAGCGCTGCTGCCTGCTGCCATACATCCGTGCGAGTATCGTTATCGCGCCGTTCTTTACTCGTCGTTGTTGTTTTTTTTTTCGCTTCTTTCTGCTTCGCCGTTGCCGTTTGTTGCTATATGGCGGCCATCGCCGGGCGCGTTTCTCGTGTTCGGTTCCGTTCATTCGCTTCCATCCGTTGCTTACGACGGCGCGGTTCAGACATGCGCTATTTGCGCGAGCAAATGCATCGAGCCGCCGCGGCTCGCTTGTAACCACCGCGCGCACACGAACGTTTTCTTTTGTGGCGAATCCGCCGAAGAGAGCACCTGTAGGTTTTGTTGTTGTTGTGTTGGTTTGGCAAATAGGGCTATCCGGAGAGCCGCACCACCTTCACGCCAACGTCAACAAACTGACGAAGCGCTATCACACCGAGCGGACGCGCGTAATACACGCGTAATGTCGAACGCTGGCTGCTTGGTGTTGGGCACGAAGTTTTCGTGTGAAAACCAGCGGAGCGGCACTAGTGCTACGGCCGCGCTCATGATTAACAAACATTGCCCGAGCGTCTTCAACCAGAATACACCAAATTATCACAAAAAAAAAAAAAAACAACTGAGAGCTCTGTCAGTGCCACCGATTTTTTTCTTCCTGCTTCTAAAGTCATGCATGTGTTGCTGTACAACACCCGAATATATAACTTAATTAAATTAATTGCCACAGAGCGTTAGTGTTGTTGCATTGTTTGCTTCACTTTATTCATTGCTTTGTTCAAACACCATTATGTGCCAAATCCACGCACACATCCACCAACCATTCAAATCCGAAACTTTCTTTTCGCGTTCTACGTTGCGATTCATTTCTTATCGTTATCGTCGCGCGCGAACAATCAATTTCTCTCTCGCCATTCTGCGATTACTTCAGACTCGGAATATTTAAAATACGTATGGATGTGAAGCAATCGGTGAGGTTGATCCGAGCGTTGAAGCATCGCCGGAGACGTTAATCGCGGGCCGGAAACACTTTCTAACCGCACTTGTTATCCGAGTTATCTAAGGTATCACCGTGCTTCGGGCGAGTTGTACAATGAGTTATTAGTTACGACGTGCGATTCATATAGGGTGTATTCAAATTGAACGCGCATCGGGCGTGAATCGCGTTTGCCACGCTCGATATAAAGCAAAATATGAGTTGACTTCAAAGAAAACAGAATATCGGTCTTGCCAAATCGGAAACTCCCATGAGAAACACATCAATGCGGCAGGTTTAGGCTTAAGAAAAAAAAAAAGCCGAGTTGAATTTGTGCTATAAAAGCATACAGACTGACAAAAAGAGGAAATTAAGAAATCGGTACGCAAAATTGAAGAAATTAATATATAGTTGTTTATCAGATACATCAGAGCGTAGAAAATGCGTGAAATTACGAATTGTATCCATCGGTTACGTCTTCAAATTTGACATACAAAATCGCCACGTTTGCGATCAGTTTTATTCACGCAGCGTCGATAAATCACGGTCCAAGCGCCCTGCGCTGCGCCGTTCATGGGAATTTCGCGGTGCGCAACGCGTAATAAACCCATTTAAACAAACGCAAATGTGCAATAGAGAAACATAATGCACACGACATGGCGCGAAACGCAGGCGTAAACGCAAAATCGAATGAAATAATTAACGATGTAAGTTGGAAATTGAAAGTTGATGTTGGAAGGTGGAAGATAAAGGAATAGCGCGCTGATGCATGCGCACCGACCGCGGCGAAATAAACGAACGCAAAGTAAAGCAAACGTAATTTATATACGTACCGCATAATATTGTAAACTTTCTAAAAAGAATAATTAAATTTAACGTGCGCGCGCGCGCTCCGGCGGGCTCGCGAGTAGACATAGTTCAGAGTACAGTCAACAACAGTCAGTCAGTCAGTCGGAGAGTCTGGCTTCTAAATCTCATTACCAGTAATGAATTCGCACCGCCGAATCTGGTAGCGGTTTCCGATCTTTTTTATTATAATGCAAGCGCGCGCGCGCGCACACCGAGGCAATTATCGCATCACAATAGTTGGGTTCTCGTTGCGGGATGAAAACTCGTGATAAATCATCGGCCGGCTCGTTGAAACTGTTTCGTTTCGAATCGACGATGTCGCCGCTTACGCAACGGCGGCCAACTTTAAACTTTATCTGTTTCGTTCTGGTCTAGTCTACTTCGCTTTGTTCGCCATCGCCGGCGCTGTTGTGCAAAATATTGCTACGTTTCCATGGCAATTCAATCCTTTATCTATGCGCTGGTGTGTGCGAACGAACGGCGCTGCCGTCTTAACAAGCTCTCGCGCTCGCTGCGCGCGTATTGCGGCTTCGAAGGCACATAATGCTTGTATTAATGATTTCGTCGCGGTTGCCATCGTTATCGGCTTAAAGAATGAATGGAGCAGCAGCGGCGGCGGCTGAGTTGCGAAATGTGCAAATTACATTTTTTGTTTGTTTGTCGCGATTGATCATTCGCAGCGTATCAATTCGTTCGCGCGGAATGCGTTCGCATGGGAAACGAACTTTTCCCGATGCAGCAACCAACCCCAAATATCTTCACGTTATTATACGCTCGAATTCGCGATGTGAATGCGTCTCGGTGTGTGTGTGTGTGTGCTGTTACACTTTGCGTTTATTTACTGGCGGCCGACTATTTGCGTTGCGAGAATGCTCCAGGTCGATTCTTCGTCGATTTCTCACAGCGGCGCGTTGCTCGTTACTCGATTCACAATCGGTGCGATTGCCAAATCCGCATCGGCCGCTCGACGCGCCGATTCGAGCGATAGATTAGAATGATTTAGCACTGGCGTGGACGTACGCCGAAAAATCGACTATCGTATTGTCGAATCGATTCATTTTCGAGCGGGAAACGAGCGCGCACAAAAAAGCGTCGTAACGAGAGACGAAATTGTTTCGGAACGAGCGCGACTTTTACGCTAATCGTTGCGAAACCATTCGCGGACTTTCGTTTTTTCCACATCATCATCATCATCATCGGCGATCGTCATCAATTATAATTGTATCATATCGCAATTTATTACCTATTGCCAACGAAGATGTAAAAATTTCGTTGTTGTGATATCCAACTCTATCACAATTCCGCTGCCAATTGAGGGGACGTGAACCGCCGTGAAGTTGTGCGCGGATAAAAATAGTCCATTGCACAATTGTAATTGAACTGATGTGGTTAACGAAGCTCACGATGCGAGAAGATTGTGGTAACCGTTGCGCATATTTTGGATGTCCGCCGATGGTGCAGGGCGCATTTTTAACGTTCTTCTGATTGTGTTATAGGTTTCCGAACGTGACCAGTTACCTCATGTCGTGTGCACGGAGTGCTACGAAAAATTAGACGCGTTCTATGACTTCAAAGAGAGGGCTAGTCGGGTGGACGAGGAGCTTGTTGCGTACATCACACAGACACGTACTTGCACTGGAACGCAACAGGTAAATATCATCAAAAAAATGCAAATTTAAAGTTGGAAATTTATTCTGAATAAAAAAAAAACATTCCTACTGAAATTTTAACTATATTAACATCTTGTAATAAAAGTAAGAAAGTTAAGAACGTTTACGTTCTGGGAATAATAGGCGCGTATGTGACTGAAGTAGCAAAACCGTAGTTCCTCTGATTCCGGTAGCACTTCACGTATCCCAGCCAGGCGGCGATGAACAGGCAGATAATTAGCAAGATGCTCGTCGAGAGCAGCACCATACGCATGATTCTCTCCGTCGATGCAATGTGGGAGTACGTCCCCAAGTACTCATCCTGCAAACATATTAATTAATTTCGGGCGTGGAGAGTTCAACATTCATCGTTGTCATCTCTCACACACACAAACAGAGAGACACTTACGTGCTCGAAGCAAATCTCTTCGGTCAGACTGTACATCTTATATTGTTTGTATCGCTTGTAATCGAAGCAATAGGCAGCGTCGCGGTCGCGTTTGACGACGTCCTGCAATTGCGCTGTGATATTATGCAGGTCGCACGTGCAGTACAACTGATTGCCGCGTAAGTCGAGCGTTGTCAACTGCGACCAGTCGAGGAACTCCTTCGGGATCAGCTCCAGATCGGAATTACTCATGTTTAACTGAAATTTTATCAATTTAGTTTAGTTTAGTTTAGTTGTTTTTTTGTGGTAAATTTATACGTACTTCACGTAGAGATGTGTTGAAGACATGATCGGAGAGTATAACATTCGATGGCATGCCAGAGAGGTCAATTTTTTGTAAATTTGGTAGCGCACCAAATGCGTTGGGTTTAATTTCATTCAGTTGGGAAAGATTCGACGCGTAGAGCTCCGTCAGGACATCCATACCGACAAAATCGGCGTCGCGGATTTCTACAATCGGGTTGCCATCAACCCGTAGAATTTTTAAAGTTTTTGACACGTCTTGGACCACATAAGGGATGAAACTCAAGTCATTATAGGATATGTCCAAGATATGCAGAGTTTTCAACTCGTTAAAACCGGTGTTGTTCAAGTGGATCAATCGGTTGCTCGCTAAGTTTAAATTCTACAAAATAAAATTATTTATTTATTGTTTGTTTAGTGTTTAATATCACCTCGAGTTTTGGTAGTTTCTGGAAACTGAGGTATGTCAATTGATCGATGATTCGAAACCGATTGCCACTCAAATCCAAAGACCTCAACTCCAGCAAATGCTCGAAAACGTTCTTCCCGATCGTGTGCAATTCGTTGTGCGCTAGATTGAGCGTGCGCAGGGCGATAGGCTCGTAGAGATTATCATCGTATGGGCCTCGGAAAACATCCGTTATCAGCACATCGCCTACAGAGAGCGCACAGAGCAAATCGGTTTTAGTGGAATAGTTTGGCAAACGCAATTGATTAAAAACGGTTCCTGTTCCCTTCGGGCGGCTCGCGCCTGCGTGCATTTTTATCGCCCGCACGAATCGCCAAAAATATTTACGCCGCGTGATAATTTTAAATATGACTCACTCTTAATCTTATTATAACTCAAATCCAGCGAGGTGACATTTATGCAGTTTGCGAACAGGCCACTATCAAGCTGCTCGATGCTGTTGTGCGTGTAGTAGACTGTCACCTCGGCGCTCGTCTCCGGCAGCGGCTTCAAGCGCACCAGCGCGTTCTTATTGAAATGGGCGACAATGCGGGTGATGTTCGGCGGGCTGGCGTCCTCGGGCCAGTTGGCGAGGGTGTTCGTCATCTGTTGCGAGGTGCAGTCGAGGATAAACGTGGTCGCGCGCGTTTGACACTTGCAACGTTCACAGAGATGCGCGGAACTTTCATAGCTAATATCACCCGCTGCCAGGATGAAATTCACAGCGAAAATTGCGCAGAAAAACGCGGTTTTTAGGCGTTTTTCGGACATTTTTTAAATAAAAAAAGAATACAGTCGAGGCGTTACGTGTGTATAGATACTTTACGCGCAACTAACGCGTTGCGCTATCACACCTCAGTGTTTATCTGCTGTTATCTGCCTTGTTATCACATTTATTTCATTGCTAATAACTTATGATGATTAACTGCTAGAGGGTCCATGGTTTATCCAACTCCAACTCCTGTCCGTGTTAAATTAGTCAGCACGTTGAATTTCTTTGAAGTTATTGATAACGCGGATGTAATTGAATCCTACTGGCTGATACGGACGAACTGCGGAATAAACTAAAATGAAACTTTCAACAAACAAGGCCGATCCGAATGGAATCCGACTAAACCTGACCATGTGCACTTTTCTAGGAAAAACTCAAGCAATCAACGATATTATTAGACGAAATGCTAACGCGGCGAAAATCTCCCAAGAATCTCAAGGCGCAAACACAACCTTCAACTCAATCAGAAACGATAACAGTCGAGCCGGACATCAAATGCGAGCCGGTGGATTACTACGACGAGGAGACCGACTCGAACGCAATGGACGCGTCTTCCGTGCGAGATCCTGGCGACTCGCGCCCTGCCACACCCTCGGAGCCGGCGGATTTGTCGAGCCGCCGGCCGGAGAACCTCACCTGCGTGCCGGAGCTGCCGGATTTCATTAAGGACGATGATGCTGCGTCGGATTACAGTAACAGTTCGGATCCAGAGCGTCTGGAGGTGGATATGTCGCAGGAATGGAAGAGCATTCGAATTCGACCACAACCTCGGCGCCTTCACCCACCGTCGACCAGCATCATCCGTACCTGCAGAATCTGCATCATCATGCCGAGCAACACGACACATTATGGCGTGCGCTGTCACAGAATGGCCGCGCGACTGGTCCGTTATCGGGTGAAGCCAGTCATTTGCTGCGCAAGTTGATAACGTGCAAGAAACTGGGCATGACTATCACACCAGCGCCGCCTTTTAAGAATGCAGAGAATGTCACCAAGGGGCCGACGAAGGAGAGCAAACCGAAGATGGCGGGCGTCGGAAACAGACCTATCCGACGAAGATGGAGCCGGAGGATGCTAATTCCAGCCCTGCTAATGAGAACGACGTGGATGGGGAGTACGTGAATGACTTTACCGGTAACAGCTCGTGGTGCAACAATCTGCAGTTGGTGAAGAACGCAAAAGTATGTCATTTAAAGCTTTAAATTGCTAGGAAAGGAAATAGATTTTGAATCTTTTTTAGGGAGGTGCGGGTATGGCGCGACGGGTTGATTTGGCGTGCACGAATTGTGGGACGCAGACGACGACCATCTGGCGACGCAACGTCAAGAACGAGATGGTCTGCAACGCATGTGGACTTTACTATAAACTGCACGGCGTCGACAGGCCGCACACGATGCGTCGCGACACGATACACACTCGGCGTCGTCGACCCAAAGATCAGGCGACTGAGAAACGTAAGCTTTGACTCTGCCAGTGATAATTACATGTGATAACTTCAAATTTACATAGGTTCACGAAAATCCAACAATGCCAATAACAACACGCCTGAAATACCCGACTCGGAAGACGTGCTGCGTGCCTTGCGAAAACAGCTTCAACCCCATTTGGTGATGGCGTTGACGGGACAAAAAGTCCCTGTCACAGCGTCCATGCATCAGGTAATTCTCCAGCTACTAATATCCTTTGCCTGTGTTTCTAATGTGTGTGTGTAATATTTTAGGGTGTTGAGGATTATCAAAAGTCGTTATCAAACCACCAGTCTCCGTCGCAGTCGACGCAGGAAGGTGAATCCGAGGACGAGAATTACCGCGACCTGCCGCTGAATCTCGTCGCGACGCAGATGACCGAGACCGAATCGCATTGATGCCGATCTGCCGCGGTCCCGCTGCTTACCCACTCATCAACTCGACTCGCCTCTGCACCCCTCACCCGTCGTTCAGTGCGGCACCAAGCAATACTAGTTCGAACTCTTCATGCCTGAGAAGTGTGGCCGAGGCGACACGCACTTTTAGTGATATTACCGACGACATTAAACCTCTCGACGAATCTCTACCGCAAGCGCAGCTCTCTATTTTGTTGGAAGTCGGAGGCGGTACGGCGCACGACACGTGTGGGCAACACAGCAAAACCGCTCGTACTTACGCCGGAACGAACAAAAATCGTAACTTAAAATACTCATACACTTGATGATACAGTTAATTCGTTGCAGCGCGACGTAAACAAAAAACAAGAAAAAAAAAACCGGTAAGGCGAACGAAACAAAGAAAACGCAAATACTTAAAAAAAAATCACCGCGATTGTGATAATCTTTTTCTTTTAATTAATAATTTTATGACTCGTATGAGAAAGAGAACATTATTGTAATATTAACGTTAATAACACTGTTTTAATGTTTAACGAATAGGGTTTACGTGAAATCATCAGTGATGGTGTGTGGACAGAGCAGGAAGAACAAACCAATTGCACATTAGTATTATAATTTATGCTAAACACACACACACACACACACATTTAATATTTTGCAGCTATCTTTTAGGTATTTATATTCTTTTTGATACATTATTTGTATTTGTAATGCCAGTACCTCTACAGTTTCTTTATCATTACGTTTTTATTTATGAGTTACTTAAACAAAGCAACCAGAAGGTATTCGAAAACAAAACACACAAGCAAGAAAAGATACACACACACTGCAATATGAGATTGGTATTATTTGCTGGAGGAGGTCGAAAGTACACGCCGCAATACTCATTTATTTATAAACGTGGTAATTGACGAAATTACTTAATTTTAGTTGTCTAAGTAACAATGATTCGCTGCGAATGCTTGTATTGAACAAACTTTTACACACACTTCAATCAAATACAGGGTATAGTAGGGGTGAATTTTCGAACAATTTGCAATTTCGAGGACGGAAGCAGAATACTCAACGTTTTTTTTTTTTAATTTCTCATCAGCGACAGCGAGGAATCTCTCTCTCTCGTACACGTACACTAAACCTACTTTAATTACGCTCGAACTTAAATATTTATATTTTATTATCGGTTTAAGCGATGAACTTACAATTTTAAATATGGAACTAACTGAGAACGTATGACCAGTAACTAAATACCTAATAAGAGTATTACCAATAATGTCTACTATAACACTTTAGCAATGTTTAAGTTTTTTGTGTCTTAAATTTGAGTGTTTACGAATACGCGCAGTATTCGGAGGCCTATTCGCGTACGCCGGACGCGACACGAGCGAAAACAATACCAGTGTTAGATTGAAATGACATTATCTTTAATTGATATTGTTATAACGTTAATTGTAAATATTAGACGAGGCGTGCTGATGGACAGGCGGCACGATTTACACCCAGTGGAACTCTTGTAGGGTTTAAATATTTCTCATTTCGTTGGTTAGAATCAGAAAAGTCTTTTGATTTTTCCATGTGTTGTTTGATGGTAGCTTCCATGGGGAACTAAAAACACGTTGTACAGAGCGGACGAACGCGACCGGCGAGTGCGCTTTTACGTTTTTTATTCAGTATTTTTATACATACACGTTTAGTATTTGTATTTGTGGTTGAAACGATGCTTATTATTTATTGGTTTTGATGGATCTGATAGTATTAACAATCAAAAGTCAAGAAGAATGTGCTCGATCGGTTGCGATTGTTCGGACGCTCTTTTAAGAGTTGATTTTTTATGAAAAATACTTATAACAAAATTGGTGCTTTTACAATTATGAACGCGTTGGTTGTTGTTGGGTAGTACGCGCGTCCGAATTGTGGTTTTTATTTTATTTACAATAATCATCGATGTGCGTGCTGCAATAACCAGTTCATTAACAGTTGTTTATTAAAAAAGAAAATGGTTTTAGTATTGTAACGGTGAGCTAACAATGTCTCTTCAGCGCGCGTTGATTCGATGCAATTGTTTAGTTGATCATCGGTTTTGTTTTCCGTGAGTAACCTGAGATGTGTTAGCTCACCGTAAAGGTTCTGCATGAACTTTACACCAACGAATTTATAGCTTCTAACACAATACTCGAGTATATTTTGTAATTTATGTATTAAGAACTTTTGTTGTTTTTTTTTATTATCGAGCCGCAGCTATAACAAAGAAACTGTAACGAACGAACAAAAACCTAAGAATTAACGAAGCCCCCGACTAGTGTCTTATACACGGCGCGTCCGCGTGGACGCGTCCCTCACATTACTAAGTAGTATTTTTGGTAGTTCTTAGTTTTACGCGTTTATGATTATGCTCTATGGAAAAAAAAGTAACGATTTATATTATTATAGAAATACTGAGTTAACACGATTAATGCGTAGTATTAACCAAGCGAGTGATATTTAACATATTATTATTGATGTAGTTATTTAATTCTCTCTTTCACTTGAATCTTTTTGTTCTTTAACGTGTCGTTTCTTAATTATTGTCTAATTATTGCGTAATTAACTTATTTTGTACCCAAAATCAGTATTGTATACGTTTTTATAACCACAACACCACAACACACAACTCACACCCCCCATGATACATCGATATAACAAAGCAAAAAAATGAATATTACCGAAATGCGCCAATTGTAACTTATGTATTTTTGTAATCGCTATGTTAAAATTGACTCGGCATGCAGTGCGGAGGTGTGCGGTTTTCATGCGCGAATCTCTTCACGAACACGATTTTTACATGCGTTAATTATTATTATTATTATTATTATAATGTACATTGTTTAGTTATGATATTTTTTTGGCAGCTGTGCCTCTAAATTATACAACACACCACTTTGAATCAACCACCAACCCAGAGGCTACAATAAACTCAACTACCATTTGATGGCATCATCAGTAACGCAGACACAGAGACGAATACTGAACGATTCGGAAAAAAATGCATTGACATTGTTTTAAGTTTTTTTTTTTTTTGTAATGCTAATTTTAAAAGTGACTGTTATACACACAGAATGTTATTTATTACCATTGGCAATTTCGTATTATAGGAATGATTGTGATAACAAAACTGGAGACAAACGATAACTGAGAAATGTAAATGTTGCATGTTGGACTTAAACAAATTTCATGGACGTTTCATTCTTATAATTCGATGTTGAATGTGCAGTGCCGGGCGCGCTGTGACTGATCAATTGAATGAAAATGATACTATGTTGATGCATTGATATATTAATATTGAATGTAATGATAACAACAGAATTTTTAAGTATGGAACAGACACATTTATGTATAAAAGTTATATATAAGTCGCTAATAATAGTTGAAATATTTTTCTATGGAATAATAAAACATGGCTGCTAATTTCAACGTTTTCATGCCGGGTTCCGGGTGGTTTTGTTTCAGAATGCGTTGGATTTTCGGTAGTTTATCGCCAGTGGCGTGCGTGTTGTGCTGTTTTTTTTTTGCAGTTCGCAGGTCAATAGACCGGCTGGCAGTTTGAATTTTGGCGCCGTTCGTGCCGGTTGCCGACTTGCGACGACTAGTTGAACTCGGATCGACATTGGCTGCGTTCGGTGTAGTTGCTGCATGCCTTTTGTGCGGTCGAGTTGACAGGCAGGCTCGGTTGTGTGCGTTGTTTTTCCGAGCGAAGGACCTGGAACCGCGAGCGAGGAGCCGAAAAGTGCATCTCGGTTCTCGGCGCGAAGCGTTCCAGCCGCCCGGACAAGGAAGAAGCGGTCGTCGACGGTGTGCAGAATTGCGGTGGCGATTGATCGGCGGTGCTGCGCCGCGCGTGTGCATCCCCGGAGTGAGTGCGCGAACGCCGCGAGCCCCCCGGACATCGGGCGCCGCGGCACTGCAAGGGGCGCTGAATAAGCAGCGCGTCCAGGTGCCCTCCGAGTTCGACGCCACGGACCGGACTAGCGCACTTGGGCACGACCAGTGCGAAGAACTATGAAGAGACGGAATGTGGAAGTCGGTAAAATGAGAAGACCCATGAAGCGGAGCAAGATCCCCGAAGGACTGTATGGCAGGTAAATGAGGCGGGCAGTGGGTGGTAAACGCGGACGCCGCCGCGCGCGTGCAGCTGTGCGTTGCATCATCGCAACCGGCGGCGCGCTGTCCCTGCAGCCAGCCGGAGGTTAGGTGCGCATTGTTGCAACCTGCGATACTCGCCAACCGCTCGCGTTTTCGTTTCCTGCGCCCCCGGGCCCCCTGAACCTGTTGATCCCCTCACTAATTTCCCACATTTCCTTTCCTTCCAGCAGAAGATCCAGTAACCATGTGCCGACCAATGCGGTTGTCTCTAAAGTGGATGTGGATACTACTAATGCTGGTGTTGATGTTGTTTGCAGCACACTGCTTTACTTCAGGTTCTTCATCCTCTGGGCGCTGGTGATCCTCGCCGACTTCATTCTCGAGTTCCGCTTCGAGTTCCTCTGGCCATTCTATCTGCTGTTGCGGTCCGTCTATGACTCCTTCAAGTATCAGGGGCTCGCCTTCTCCGTTTTCTTCGTCTGCGTGGCGCTGACCAGCGACATGCTCTGCTTCTTTTTCATCCCGGTGCATTGGCTGTTCTTCGCCGCCAGCACGTATGTGTGGGTGCAGTACGTGTGGCACACCGACAAGGGCATCTGCGGGCCAACGATCGTGCTCTGGATGCTGTTCGTGTACATCGAGGCGGCCGTGCGGCTGCGGGATGTGAAGCACATGCCTGGTCACATGGATCTGTGCCGCCCGTTCGCGGCGCATTGCATCGGCTACCCGGTGGTGACGCTCGGCTTCGGATTCAAGTCCTACGTGGGTTTCCGTATGCGGCAGAAAAAGCAGCGGGATGTCGCCAAGGAGAACGAATTTTATCTACAGTTAATGCAACAGGCGTTGCCGGCGGAGGCGGTGCATGCTGAAATGCAGCAGCCGGCTGTGCAAGCGCCTGCGGCTGCCACAGCCACTGCTTCCGCTGCGCCCGTGAAGCACACGCACAAGTTGCACAATGGGAATGTACCCAACGGGCTGCACGCGAACGGTGTGCCGCAACAGCACCATCCACCTACGAATAAAGCGCACCGTCGAGGGGTAATAGTGAATGAGAAGGTCAGAGAGCACGGGCACGACCACGACGAGCATCAGCACACTACAACGCCCACGGCTAATGGCGCAACGTCTACGAAACGCCATGGCGGCAGCCACAAGATGAGCAACGGCGTGTGCAGTGTGTCCACCGAAGAAGTGCCCGGCCATGAGACGCCGGAGGCGATTGTAAAGCCTGTAAATAACCGCAATCGACGCGAGCGCAAAGAACAGTCGGACAAAGACAACCGGGAGCACCAGGAGTGTCTGCTGCGTCTCGAACAGGAGTCCAAGCGACTGCGATTGGAAATCCAAAGTAGTCGTGCCAGCGAACAAGAATTACGCTTACAGGTGAGACTATCGTTTTAAACGCAATGAAAAGTTTCAAATTAAATTTAAATTATTCATGTTTCAGGTCGTCGCTTTGACGACGACGGAAAAAAGTTTCGCGAGGAGAGATGCTATTGCAGCAACGCGAGCTCGAAGATCTCCACGCGAAGCTACAGAGCGCCAACTCGTCCAAAGCGCAAGACAAACAGACTATTAATAGCCTAGAGCGGCGACTCGCTGAAGAGCGACGCGTGCGAAACGGCTTGGAGTTGCAGCTCAACCAGGAGCGCAAGAGTCGCAAACAGGAGGAAGCACGCGCTGCGGCGGCCGCAGCTCAGGCACAGAGTATTCGCGCCGGCGAATGCACCGATCTCTGCCGGCAGCGACGGCGCGAACTCGAGTCGGACGTGGCTGCCATGCGATCCACGCACAAATGGTACGAAAATGAGGTGCAACTCAAGGACCGCGATGGCGCTGTCATGGCCGACAAACTACGCGAAACTGATCTGGTGATTTCCGCGATGCAGGAGAAGACTCAGCACCTGGAGAATTCGCTTTCGGCCGAAACGCGCATCAAACTTGACCTGTTCAGCGCTCTCGGCGAAGTCAAACGGCAGCTGGAAATCAAAGACAGTAAGCACCTTTTGAAATTTGTTGATTTACATGTGCCAAACACGCTTTTTTGTAGATTTCATCCGCGCGCAAGAGAAGGAAATCGAGGAGCTCAAGAGCAAGATCGCACAAGTACTGGCCGTCATGCCGGACACGTACGTTGGCAGCCCGGGCCGAGCCACATGATGTCGCGCGTCCGTCTCAGCGCAAACGCAGGCATTGACCGAGGTGACAATTCACCCGGCTCAACCCTGGATCCGAACGCGACGGCCTATACCCCGAAAGGCTCATTGGTCGCCTCCACCGAGGCCTAGGCCATACGCCGTTAACCCCTCGCCCGACCTGATTCTGATACAAACAATTCTACTGATTCGAGGTAACCAAGCGGAACTTACCAAACAACTAACACAAACGCTGCTTGCGAAAGTTGGGAAAGGACGTTTAGGTTTATTTTAGTTCGACTTGCGTTTTAGTTCGAAGCTGGATTTGAAACGAATCGATTGAATACAATCAAAAATGCGCGTAATTTTTGAATCTCACAATTTGAAACGTTTACAAAAAGGTGAAAAAGAAAAAACAAACAAACAAACAAAACACTAACAATTGAGAAACACAATTTACTTAATTACATGTAACTTGTAAGCTTTTTTAATGTGATATACTTATTTATACTGATATGTTAGTTAACTACATTAACTATTATTGACAATTTTGCGCGCGCTGTCGGAAATGCTTCGGCAGCGCGAATTTCGGTTGAGATTATACATTTTTTGCGAAACAATCAAAGTCACACACACACGCAACACGTGAGTTGATAACCAGAACGCGCCTGGTGGTGACTCGGAACCTTTTCAAATGAGCAATGAATAGACGAGCGCCGTGAAAACTTTCGAATTTGTTTGCGAAATGCGCCCGACGGTCGCGCGTCGCCAACGAGGGGGAAACAATGCAAATTGTTCATGGACTTCTCCTAATATTTTAACACTTTGTAACGTTAGTTGCATATGAAGCATACACACACACACACAGCTAGTCTTAAACTTGAAGCGATACTTGCGACTTTCCAGCCATGGCGGCGCCGCGTGCGCATTCTTCATTTATTGTTACTATTATTATTAATATTTGTGTAATTTATTCTTTTATTTTTGATCTCTGCATTCTCATCATCTCGTGTGGACAAGACGCATGACACATAAACACACACACATACACTCACTCACAAAACGATTACCCTAGCGATAAGGCATTCGCTTAACATTCGTTCTCTCTGTTATAATTAGTATTATAATTAAGCTGTTTTTCTTGTGCACGCAAAGCGTGTCGCGAGATCAACATCTTGGATGCGCGTGCATCGATTGCGCTCGCATTTTAAACGTCGACGCGAACATTGCAAATGTTTTCTGTCTGTCTGTGCCGAACGACTGCCATTGCCGCGCGCGTGTGCTTTCTTTCTTGTTTTGTCCGCGCAACGCCGGAAACCGCTTCGTTTCGGTGCTCAACTTTCATTCAGTTGTCACACGTTTTGGAGAATGCCGGCACGTAATGCAACATGCATCTCGCCCACTGTCACTGTGTGACGCAACGTTGAACACACCAGACAAACAAGACACATGTATAAATGCAGACATTCGTTTATTTACAAAACGAATTATTTATTGCCATTTCGTCTCATCGTGGCGAATCGATGGCCACGTTGTAATATTTACGATTCGTCGTTTTGTTCCGATTCAAACAAATGGAAGCGACTAAGTACTTAACGTCTTTGAAGATGACTCGGAGATTGTCCTTCGGAGTTGAAGACGAACTAAGAACATATAACCAGTGAAACGCATAAACTCAACGAGCACCCAAATGATAAATCAACTCGGAAAACTGTATACCGTGTTAATTCTTCTGATTTTTTTTTGTAATTTTAATTTTTTAAGTACTGCGTTCGGTCTAGTGGTGCGTTTATTTTGTTTTGCCAATATTATTGTTTAGTTTCTCATCTATCATTTGAATTATTTGATTCATTTTGTGTTTGACATTGCAAGACCGAAACAATCTGAGTTTTTTTCGATCTGAAGATACGATGGTGATGCGTTCGAATTTTATTTTGTTTCCTTTTTTATTATATGCGAAAATATAGTTACGTTTCGTTGCATTATTTTATTTCTTGCGTTTTATTGTTGTTTTCTTTCAGATACGACATCGCATCTTTTCAAATTTGGAAATATTTCATATTGCGATTCAAACTAAATTTCATCATTAACATCAAATAAACTGATGATCTTATATGGAAGATAATCAGTTGCATCGACACAGTTCTTCGGTTTCATCTCGTTCGATGCTGAAAATTCTTTTCATATTTGAACGTACAGTTTTTGCTCTCTATATATGTTGAATCATTTACAAATGAAGCAGGAAGTAAACTGCAATAAGTAAATCAACTTGCAACATGTGTAAAACAAACTGAAATACGAATTCGATTTGAATGATGTACACAAAAATGATTTCGAATTGAATTGGTAAATTTAAATCATGCAGAGATAATGAAATAAATACAAAGACCAGAGAAAACATGGAAAACTAATGATTAATAAAGTGTAATAATAATAATGTCATCACATAAATTTCTTTTGCCTGCAATTGATCGACACATGGAGACATACGAAACAGAAATATTCATTTTATATTGTAGAAAATACGCGTCCAATGTTTGTTTTGCGATCTCACACCGCGCTGGAATTCAACCGGTTTGTTCTTATTTCTTATTGTCTGTTGATAAGCGTACGATGTAGTGAATAGTTTTGTATGCGACCATGTGATGGCGCTGCGTGTATCGTCTGCTCACACTGCAGGAATAAAATTAGTTTCACCGTATCCGACGGATGGTTCGCACGCGGTCGTCGCGATTCACCATTCTTCGGATTTAATTCGGTAATTCTTATTACTTTCGGTGTTCTTAGTGATTATTGCTGACTATTGTGATAGATAAGATATTCGCGGAATGCAAATATTGTGTATTAGTTCGTGACCGGAGTGCTGTTTACGATGGAAGTTTTACAAGTAAAGTAAGTAAATTAAATAATATTCTCAACCGCATTAATTGATTCTGTTTCTGTTTATTTTTCTTTATTATCATATTTTCGTATTCGTGTTTCGTGTTTTATAGATTGTTATAGTCATAAATGTGCATAAGATTGCATGGCATGGCATCTTATAGAGATTAATTATTCATAGTATCGGTTTTCTTGATTTGTTGCAATTAGAAAATTGTTATCTTTTGCGGAAATCTTTGCTTCAATAAAACTCAAATCATAAATCGTAATTTCATTATTTAAATTTTAGTTTACTAGGATGAACTAAAAATCATAAAATAGAATTGTATTCGTTTATTTATCGGCAAACGTAGGCATTTCGCACGAGAATTGTGTTTGTTTTGAACACAACGCACACTTTCTTATCGCATTCGTCGCGTGAAATGCAACGCATGCGATCCCTCACGCCGCACGTTGCCGCATCTTAGTTTTGTTTTGAACGCAGATAACGTGCTAAATGCGATTCGCGCACAAGGTCTCGCGCAGTCGACGCGCCGGCTTTGCGCACCTCTTGCTTTCTTATCATAAACTATCGCGTCGTTGCTTGCTCCGTGTATTGCGGCCAGTTTCGTGTCGGTTTGTGGGTGATTCAGACGTATTTCTCGCGACTCGGATTGTTTGTTCGGTCTTCTTCTTTTTAAATTCACATTATATTCGGTCATCAATCGGCTAGTTAATTTTAGCTTGCGACTGTAGCAATGTTATTTAGTATTTGCGCGTTTATTGTCCATAATCGTTTCATATTTGGTTGATTACCGGTGATAATTAGTGTTTATGGTCGTGTTTGGCATTTTAATAATAATTTATCGCGCGTATAATCTTCGTAAATCTAAATTTTGCGAGTTTAGTCTAAACACACTGTGATTGGGTTGCATCGGACGCCGTCCGGTGATTGATTGTATAGACATGTATTGTTTATTTCTATATCTATCAGCAAACGCGAGCATTCGACACGAGAATTGTGTTTGTTTTGAACACAACTACCTACACTTTCTTATCGCATTCGCCGCGAGAATGCAACGCATGAGATCCCCTCACGCCGCACGTCACCGCATCTTAGTTTTGTTTTGATCGCAGGTAACGTGCTGATGCGATTCGCGCCAAGGTCGCGCGCCATCGACGCACTGGCTTTGCGCACCTCTTACTTTCTTATCATAAACTGTCACCTCGTTGCTTGCACAGTTTGCAGCCAGTTACGTGTCGGTACCTAGTTAATCCAGACGTATTTTACGCGACTCGTATTGTTCGTACGGACTTCCACTCTCCAAATTTGCATTAGATCATCAATCGACTATTTAATTTTAATTCGTGACGAAAGTAAAGTTATTTCCTCTTTGCGCGTTTATTTTCTATAAATGTCGGTTTAGTGTATCTCCTTCATGTTGATTTGATAGTATCATTAGGATGACCAATTGTGCTGGTGTAAGTACTCGATACTTTTAACTAAACAGCACATATTGTTTGTTTTTCTCCACTGTGTGATTATAATAAATTCGTATGAAATATTTTTGTTTTACTTGCGTTTCTTACGTTCTTTTTTTTATTTACAGTATTAGCCGTGGCTTGGGAGTCCCATGAGTTTTGCATTGGTATGTTTACAATTCAATTATGTATTCCGTTTTAATTTCTGCGTCGTACATTAGTTTGTATTTCCGTTGTTTTGTTTTATCGGGTTCCACCGCGTGTTGCAAATAGATCAGATAGTCGCGTACCCGGATGATGCATCTGAAAATTAACTGTTAGGTTTTGTTTAGAAGATATTCACTGTCGACAATCGTCGAAAGAAAGTATCAAGCAACCCCCACACCCCTGGCATTTTTTTCTTAATTCTTAAAATATCATCTCTCAGATTTCCGCTTCTATCCTAACTTATAGAGAGTACTCCGTAGATTAAGACGCTGCGATCAGATCCTGTTTATCTCTTTTAGTTTACGAGATATTCGCGATTGAATAAAATGGGCAAAAATTGCAAAATGTCACTTTTTAGCACTTTCAGTCGCGTTTTTTGACCTTTTACTGAGGGAAATATATTTATTTTATATTTTTATCTGATAGAGAATTTTTCAATCTTTCATAACCAGCGATTCGTTGGTTGCTATCACTTTTAGTTTAAGAGATATGAATTATCAAAAATCGTCGAAAAAAAGTATCAAGCACCCCCCCTTGGCAATTTTTTCTTAAGAATTAAAATTTCATCTCTCACATTTCCGTTTTAACTATCATATCTTAAAGAGATAAGTCCGTAGATTAAGACGCTGCGATCAGATCTTAATTATCTCTTTTAGTTTACGAGATATTCGCGATTAAAGAAAATTGGCAAAAATTGAAAAATGTCACTTTTTAGCACTTTCAGTCGCGTTTTTCGGCCTTTTACTGTAGGAAATATAATTGTTTTATATTTTTATCTGATAGAGAATTTTCCTATCTTTCATAATCAGCAATTTGTTGGTCGCTATCGCGTTTAGTTTAAGAGATATGAATTTTTAAAAATCGTCGAAAAAAAGTATCAAGCACCCCCCCTTGGCAATTTTTCTTAAGAAATAAAATTTCATCTCCCAGATTTCCGTTTTAACTATCATATCTTATAGAGATAAGTCCGTAGATTAAGACGCTGCGATCAGATCTTAATTATCTCTTTTAGTTTACGAGATATTCGCGATTAAAGAAAATTGGCAAAAATTGAAAAATGTCACTTTTTAGCACTTTTAGTCGCGTTTTTGGACCTTTTACTGTAGGAAATATAATTATTTTATATTTTTACCGGATAGAGAATTTTCCAATCTTTCATAATCAGCAATTCGTTGGTTGCTATCGCTTTTAGTTTAAGAGATATGAATTTTCAAAAATCGTCGAAAAAAAGTATCAAGCACCCCCCCTTGGCAATTTTTTCTTAAGAATTAAAATTTCATCTCCCAGATTTCCGTTTTAACTATCATATCTTATAGAGATAAGTCCGTAGATTAAGACGCTGCGATCAGATCTTAATTATCTCTTTTAGTTTACGAGATATTCGCCATTAAAGAAAATTGTCAAAAATTGAAAAATGTCACTTTTAGCACTTTCAGTCGCGTTTTTCGGCCTTTTACTGTAGGAAATATAATTATTTTATATTTTTATAGGATAGAGAATTTTCCAATCTTTCATAATCGGCAATTCGTGGGTTGCCATCTCTTTTAGTTTAAGAGATATTAATTTTCAAAAATCGTCGAAAAAAAGTATCAAGCACCCCCCCTTGGCAATTTTTTCTTAAGACTTAAAATTTCATCTCCCAGATTTCCGTTTTAACTATCATATCTTATAGAGATAAGTCCGTAGATTAAGACGCTGCGATCAGATCTTAATTATCTCTTTTAGTTTACGAGATATTCGCGATTAAAGAAAATTGGCAAAAATTGAAAAATGTCACTTTTAGCACTTTTAGTCGCGTTTTTCGGCCTTTTACTGTAGGAAATATAATTGTTTTATATTTTTATAGGATAGAGAATTTTCCAATCTTTCATAATCGGCAATTCGTTGGTTGCTATCGCTTTTAGTTTAAGAGATATGAATTTTAAAAATCGTCGAAAAAAGTATCAAGCACCCCTTGGCAATTTTTCTTAAGAATTAAAATTTCATCTCTCAGATTTCCGGTTTAACTATCCTATCTTATAGAGATAAGTCCGTAGATTAAGACGCTGCGATCAGATCTTAATTATCTCTTTTAGTTTACGAGATATTCGCGATTAAAGAAAATTGGCAAAAATTGAAAAATGTCACTTTTTAGCACTTTCAGTCGCGTTTTTCGGCCTTTTACTGTAGGAAATATAATTGTTTTATATTTTTATAGGATAGAGAATTTTCCAATCTTTCATAATCGGCAATTCGTTGGTGGCTATCGCTTTTAGTTTAAGAGATATGAATTTTTAAAAATCGTCGAAAAAAAGTATCAAGCACCCCCTTGGCAATTTTTCTTAAGAATTAAAATTTCATCTCCCAGATTTCCGTTTTAACTATCATATCTTATAGAGATAAGTCCGTAGATTAAGACGCTGCGATCAGATCTTAATTATCTCTTTTAGTTTACGAGATATTCGCGATTAAAGAAAATTGGCAAAAATTGAAAAATGTCACTTTTTAGCACTTTTAGTCGCGTTTTTCGGCCTTTTACTGTGGGAAATATAATTGTTTTATATTTTTATCTGATAGAGAATTTTCCAATCTTTCATAATCAGCAATTCGTTGGTGGCTATCGCTTTTAGTTTAAGAGATATGAATTTTTAAAAATCGTCGAAAAAAAGTATCAAGCACCCCCTTGGCAATTTTTCTTAAGAATTAAAATTTCATCTCCCAGATTTCCGTTTTAACTATCATATCTTATAGAGATAAGTCCGTAGATTAAGACGCTGCGATCAGATCTTAATTATCTCTTTTAGTTTACGAGATATTCGCGATTAAAGAAAATTGGCAAAAATTGAAAAATGTCACTTTTTAGCACTTTCAGTCGCGTTTTTCGGCCTTTTACTGTAGGAAATATAATTGTTTTATATTTTTATCTGATAGAGAATTTTCCTATCTTTCATAATCAGCAATTTGTTGGTCGCTATCGCGTTTAGTTTAAGAGATATGAATTTTTAAAAATCGTCGAAAAAAAGTATCAAGCACCCCCCCTTGGCAATTTTTTCTTAAGAATTAAAATTTCATCTCCCAGATTTCCGTTTTAACTATCATATCTTATAGAGATAAGTCCGTAGATTAAGACGCTGCGATCAGATCTTAATTATCTCTTTTAGTTTACGAGATATTCGCGATTAAAGAAAATTGGCAAAAATTGAAAAATGTCACTTTTTAGCACTTTTAGTCGCGTTTTTCGGCCTTTTACTGTAGGAAATATAATTGTTTTATATTTTTATCTGATAGAGAATTTTCCAATCTTTCATAATCAGCAACTCGTTGGTTGCTCTGGCTTTTAGTTTAAGAGATATGAATTTTCAAAAATCGTCGAAAAAAAGTATCAAGCACCCCCTTGGCAATTTTTCTTAAGAATTAAAATTTCATCTCCCAGATTTCCGTTTTAACTATCATATCTTATAGAGATAAGTCCGTAGATTAAGACGCTGCGATCAGATCTTAATTATCTCTTTTAGTTTACGAGATATTCGCGATTGAAGAAAATTGGCAAAAATTGAAAAATGTCACTTTTAGCACTTTTAGTCGCGTTTTTCGGCCTTTACTGTAGGAAATATAATGCTTTTATATTTTTATCTGATTGAGAATTTTCCAATCTTTCATAATCAGCAATTCGTTGGTTGCTCTGGCTTTTAGTTTAAGAGATATGAATTTTCAAAAATCGTCGAAAAAAAGTATCAAGCACCCCCTTGGCAATTTTTCTTAAGAATTAAAATTTCATCTCCCAGATTTCCGTTTTAACTATCCTATCTGATAGAGATAAGTCCGTAGATTAAGACGCTGCGATCAGATCTTAATTATCTCTTTTAGTTTACGAGATATTCGCGTTTGAATAAAATGGGCAAAAATTGAAAAATGTCACTTTTTAGCACTTTTACTCGCGATTTTCGACCTTTTACTATAGGAAATATAATTATTTTATATTTTTATCTGATACAGAATTTTCCAATCTATCATAATCAGCAATTTGTTGGTGGCTGTGGCTTTTAGTTTAAGAGCTATGAATTTTCAAAAATCGTCGAAAAAAAGTATCAAGCACCCCCCCTTGGCAATTTTTTCTCAAGAATGAAAATTTCATCTCCCAGATTTCCGTTTTAACTATCCTATCTGATAGAGAATAGTCCGTAGATTAAGACGCTGCGATCAGATCTTAATTATCTCTTTTAGTTTACGAGATATTCGCGATTGAAAAAAATCGTCAAAAATTGCAAAATATCACTTTTTAGCACTTTTAGTCGCGTTTTTAGGCCTTTTACTGTAGGAAATATAATTATTTTATATTTTTACCAGATAGAGAAACTTCCAATCTTTCATAATCAGCAATTCGTTGGTTGTTGTCGCTTTTAGTTTAAGAGATATGAATTTTCAAAAATCGTCGAAAAAAAGTATCAAGCACCCCCCCTTGGCAATTTTTTTCTTAAGAATGAAAATTTTATCTCTTAGATTTCCGTTTTAACTATTCTATCTTATAGAGTATAGTTCGTAGATTAAGACGCTGCGATCAGATCTTAATTATCTCTTTTAGTTTACGAGATATTCGCGTTTGAATAAAATGGGCAAAAATTGAAAAATGTCACTTTTTAGCACTTTTAGTCGCGATTTTCGATCTTTTACTGTAGGAAATATAATTATTTTATATTTGTGTCTGATACAGAATTTTCCAATCTATCATAATCAGCAATTTGTTGGTTGCTGTGGCTTTTAGTTTAAGAGCTATGAATTTTCAAAAATCGTCGAAAAAAAGTATCAAGCACCCCCCCTTGGCAATTTTTTCTTAAGAATGAAAATTTCATCTCCCAGATTTCCGTTTTAACTATCCTATCTGATAGAGAATAGTCCGTAGATTAAGACGCTGCGATCAGATCTTAATTATCTCTTTTAGTTTACGAGATATTCGCGATTGAATAAAATGGGCAAAAATTGA